ATGTGTATGAAATGCTGCAGCTTCAGTGGCAACCTATGCCAGACAGTGTCATGCATGCCAGTTGTGGTCCAAAATTAAATGTTTATTATTAAATATTAGGCATTTGTGGTTGTGGGCTGCTTTCTCTCTGGTCATTTCTGTGCCAGGCAATAGCTTTTCCTGGTACCACTATGCCATACCTGCCTATCATGTCATAGCTGAAGGTATGCCATAGGAAGTGTGATGGTCACTTTGTCAAAGAGAATCTCACACCCACTAAATGAGGACTGGAAGACAAGGAGAAGAACTTGTATGCTAGGTCAGTGGCTGTGTAGGTTGCTCAATAAATAACTACTGTATTGTGCCAAAGCTAAGTTTTACAGTTTTGTAGCCTTGATCTCTGGCTGTGAAGTGGCACCTTTCATTTCAGTTGAGCTGTGAAGGTGTTGTGGGACAAAGCTCATGTGTTGAACTGTCTAAACTCTTCCTGTTTACCTTAGCTAATCTATTTTGCAGCTGTTTGTAGCTGCAGAGGTAACAGCAATTTTGTTCATTCCTGCCAAGTGCAACAGAGTGTAGCTCTGGAAGAGAGGGATGAGTCGCCCGATGGCTTAGGCAACTCGTTTCTGCATAGTGCAGGAAGACAGGCAAGCCTTCTACATTGCCTTAATCATCAGACAATTTTGCATTCTCTTCTGCCTCTGTATCTGCAGTACAGAGATTATTGCACTGCTGAGTGGACCTAGGTAAACTCAGCTTCCCAGTGCAAAGGTTTGGTCATGGTGGTATACTGGCATAGTTAACATTGCACCTCATCTTAAACTGATATTTGTCAGTGCAGCAAATGCCTACATTAATGCCAGTAGCCAAAGTGATATGTGGTGATTTCTTGTCTCACAGCCTAACAGTATAATTTAGTATAACTGTTTTTGACTACCAGTATGCAGAATATTGAGGGACGCGGGTGACGCTGTGGTCTAAACCACTGATCGTAGGGCTTGCCAATCAGAAGGTCAGTGGTTTGAATCACCTGACGAGGTGAGCTCCCATTGCTCGGTCCCAGCTCCTGCCAACCTAGCAGTTCCGAAGCACGTCAGAGTGCAAGTAGATAAATAGGTACCGCTCTGGCAGGACGGTAAAAGGTGTTTCCATGCGCTGCTCTGGTTTCGCCAGAAGCGGCTTAGTCATGCTGGCCACAGGACCCAGAAAAACTGTCTGTGGACAAATGTCGGCTCCCTCGGCCAGTAAAGAAAGATGAGCGCCGCGACCCCAGAGTCGTTCGCAACTGGACTTAACTGTTAGGAGTCCTTTACCTTTTTTATGCAGAATAGTATATTCAGTATCATTTGACACCCGCATATATTAAATGCAAATACCCTTTGTGTTTGATGGTTAAACTCTATACAGTGGTACCTCGGTTTACGAACTTAAACCATTCTGGAAGTCTGTTCTTAAACCGAAACCGTTCTTAAACCGAGGTGCACTCTCCGTAATGAGGCCTCCCACTGCCAGTGCCCTCCCACCGTTTTGATTCCGTTCTTAGACTGAGGTAAAGTTCGCAAACCGGCAAACTACCGGTTTTGTGGAGTTTGTAAACCGAATAGTTCCTAAACAGAGCCGTTCTTAAACCGAGGTACCACTGTAATTGCTAAGAAATGCTACAGATATCAAATGCCACTTTTCTGGTTTACAGATTAATTTACCAAGACTTAATCCACAATCATTCACCTAACATTTAGCTAGCTGAAAATGTCACAAAACATGTCTTCTAAGCCATTCATAATAAACAAACACTGCTTTCTTGTTTAGGCCTAGAATTTGGCAGAGCATCTGATATTGGTACTGAAGTCTTCATTTCACATTTTAGCCTATATATTTATTTTCTATGTTAGCCGATTACTTGAGCTTTTCATGCAGCACTCAATATTTTTCTTGTGAACAGCCATTTATATTTCTTCAGACAGTGCCAGGGGCACACTTCAGATTGGGTGATTACATGATTTCTATTCTATGCATCAACAGTGATCTTGTGAGAAAATAGAAGATGCAGCTCTGGACTGATATTCCTACTTCAGCTCAGCAAATAGGCATATTAGGCAACCACATATTTTTTATGTTTACATATACGGAAGTAGAATGAAACGTTGCCATTGAATAGGTTTTTAGCAAGTGGAACTCAAATGTCAGTATTCCCTCCCATTGGGGGGACATCCGTCTGCCTTGGGAGACAAATCAAAGTGTGCACCTTTCGGGGTAAAGTAAAACAGTTGGAGGGTTCTAGTGTCTTCTGTGGCTGTAGACCAATATGTGAAAGACATGTTTTATTGCAGGTGGGGCAGATGAAGGTGTCCGGTTCTGCTGCTACAGGTTGACCATGACATTTCTTCTCTCTCTGCACCTCCCAGTAGTCATTCCTGCTCTGCCCACTGCTGTGGATACACGGCCTGACTGATTGTCTCCTGGCACTGTGGTTATCTGTAAGGGATTCCCACATGGCAGGGCTAATGTTGCCAACGTTAATTTCATGTTTGCAGATGCCTTTGTTACACAGAACTGGTTTGTCAATGGGCCTGGTGCCTGAAGCCAGCTCCCTGTAGAGCCCGTCCTTGGGGATTCTGCCATCTTCCATTCTGTGTATGTGACAAAGCCAGCATAGACGTGTTTGAGAAGTGTGAACGTGCTGTGAATGTGGGTTTGGGAGAGCTGCCACCTGTTCCCACATACGACCCCTTGGTTACCTAGCTGTTTAATCCAATTGGCTCAGGGGAAGACCATCTCTGCCCAGTTAGTCTACAAGGGAACACCTGCATTGTTGTACCTACTGGTAACTCAGTACCTGTGTTTATTGTCATTTCATATCCCTTCCATCCAGCTTTGCCCTTTCACCAGATAGAAAGTTTGCATATGATTTGTGTGTCTGCCATTCAGTATTGCCCCTCCCGTTTTATAATCTACTTGTTTTGTTTTGTGACGTTATAGCTAAACAGTTGGGATTAGTGGTGGGAATAAAACAATTTTTCGGATTCTGCAGTATTTCCCTTTGAAATTTGATATTTTTACTAATCCGTAATTAAAACCCAAATTTATATGTATACTATTCTTAATATGATCATTTTTAGCTGCTAAGGATTTGGGAAGAGAGCCAAGTATACATATTTTTGTTACTTTTGCATAAGTTACTAAATCATAAGCTACTAAGGCTGGGTACACACTCCCATTCACTTTGCATCCAGTGTGCTCCCACTGCTGGTTTGGAAGCAGTATACACAAGGCATTAGCCACAATCCATATCTAACTTGCATCTATCCTGCCATTTCTTATGAAATAAGAAGTTTTGATGTGTTTTTCTCCAAATCAGCTTCAGTACAAATTGAGAAAAAGAATGACCCAGCTGTGTTTTATGCTTGTAACATGTGCACAGCCTAAGTATCCATCATTATAAACTAGTATACATATAACTTGTTCTAATTCTTGACAGATACAAATATAATAATTGAAAGGAAAATACAGCTGATGCTGAAAAACAATTTCATTACTATTACCCCCAAACATTGTTTAGCTATAATAATTTAGTGTAATAAAACAACTGTGTTTTCAAGGCAAGGGTTTGTTATGTTGGTGGGAGTGGTGGCACATTGGATAACAGGCCAGTAAAATTCCCAACTGGCCAGAAGCAAATTTGGGTGCTCATGTGGTTTTAACAGGACTTTACCATGCAGAATAGAGCAGGTGACACTTTGCATAGCAGGAAGCTAAACATCCTTACCTGCTAATTGCTGCAGATCAAAAGGACAGCTTTAGGGGCCAGTTCAAAAGCTGATTATAGAAACCAAATAAACCAGGATTTTTTTGGCTATTAGTGTTGCCAAATTTGAAGCAGCCCCTGTAGCTGTCTAACAGCACTTTGATCTACAGCAATTAGCAGGTGACAATGCTTATTTCAAGGCCATGGGAATCTTTACCTGCAAAGCAAACCTCTGTTGAAGGCACTAGAGTAGGCTAGGGCAATTTTTTTCTAGCCAGATGAGAACCCTATTGATTTTTCTATTGCAAACCGGAAATTAATTTTATTTGTCAGTTCTTAATTTTGTACAATTTTTTGCTTACTGTCATTAATTTTCTAGCTGATCTGTTGCAAAAATAAGAAATCTTTATCTGGGATTTGGATACTCTTTGCTGTGAAATATTTGACTAAAAAATCATATTGCGCACTCTTGAGTATGCTTGAAGCTCTCCTTCGCTTTCCATACCTGCAATACCTCCCCCAACATATCTATATTCTGTGCAAACTTTCTCCCCATATAAAAGCAATCAGGTGAAGCAAGGAATTCATAAGGCACAATGATGAATGGGTTGCCAAAGCACCATAATCCCCCTTGCCCCATCTGTAGAAACACTTGCTGGCTTTCTCGGTAGCATCACTAGTGATGAGAAACATCTTAAGGGATTATTTCGACAGATGTCATTTTCTGGCAATAGCTCCTCAAAATGTCAATGAACAGAAAGGAAAATATTGTTCTTTGATCTGCTATAACTCATGGCCTATATACATTTTTGTAAACATGCAGTAGTCTGGTTTAATGGACAAAAGGTTACACTGTTTCTTCCTTCTGGAAAGCTCCAGTTCTCAGTTGCAGTCTGTATTAGGAAGAGATGTGTGTTGCAATCATTTTCTCTCTACAAAACACGCACACACAGCCTTTTGACTGAGGTTTTGTGCCCCTTTGTGAGAGGTGAGAAACTCTTTGCAAGGCATATTGGAGGAGATCACACATCCATATTGTTGAGAAATCATGGGCATTTCTCACATACATGATTCAATTTTACATTTTGAGTTGAACTGTTTCAGTGGGGCGTCATTCGCTTACTAATATAAATGCATATACCCATCTCTGTTTTACCTCACCTAGTTATGAACTTTGTGCCACTAGAATTGGCCTGAGACAAAAGATTTGGCATGCAACACTGGCAGAAAATGAGACTGCCAGAGCAGTGTAGACGACAGGGCATATTGGCACAGTTGCTTTGCCATGATGCAGTGTCATCCCTCTTCTCCTTAATTCAGGATAAGGACTAAAAGGGGGCTTAATTTTCCCGCGTTATATCCAAATTTGATTAGATATGTGGTCCCATGAAATCATTTCACTATGTGATCCTGATTGGCTGATATCACATGACGAAAAGTAGGGACAAGAGGAGGAGGACCACAATTATGGACTCTCCCCAAACATACCTCCAAGTGTGGTTGGGCCATGTATATAGGCTCTCTATGTTGCCCTCCACGTATAGAACAAAGACATGATCCAGCCCACTCTCAGATACATTGCAGAGGCATTGGATGAATGTAAAGTATTTGAGGTGGTGTGGAGAGGTGGTAGAGATGAAACCTGGGGAGAAATTTGTGGAAGTAGTGTGAGAGAGTATCAATTCGGTAATGACTCAGGATATGAGATAAGATAAACAGCAACACATAGAAAAAGAAAAACATGGGGAGGGAAATGAACTTTTGGATGAACCCATAAAATGAAACAAAGGTAATGTTCTTGAACAACTGAGGATCTGGTGCTTCCCAGTGTGTAAAAGGGAAATCCCAGACAAGAGCCACAACATAAAATAAAATTAAGAAATAAAGCATTTCCTTGACATCAATTAAGAGATTTTATGTGTACTAGAAGAGAATATCAGATATTTTGGCTACAGTCCACAGGCTGATTATTCTGGAATAGTGCCATTGTCTTTAATTTTGTACTTCAGAGTAAGCGAAGGCTGCTGCAGATGTCATTTCAACCAAATATTTAATGTGGTTATTGTATCAGAACTCCAGTTCCATTCAATTTAAGCCAAATGTAAATATGGTTATGTATATGTATCTATAGACATAATTTCATCAGGCCATTTCTGAATGAAGAACATGACGTCAGAACTGCCACTGATAGTTGAAGTATAAAATCCAATGTCTTCATGGTCATTTAGCTTGTGCAATAGTCTACAGTTAGGTAGCACCCAACCCTAGGGCTGCATCATTGTATTAGAAGTACCACCACCTTTTCCCTTTTGCTTATTCGTTGTTGTTTTTTAAGTGATGGATAGGATGGAAAGATAGAAGCACATACAATAGAGAAAAATTAAAGTGGGTCCCGTGGTAAACTGGGTTTGAAAAACTTGATATATTACTGGATTAAGAGGATTTACACAATTTATTTGATGTGCTCCCACATTTATGCCTGCTGGAGAGAGCATGGAAGGTTTTTTTTTTAAGCCCTGGGCAATATGAAGATTAGGGAGAAAGACTGATAAAGGTATTGTATTCCTCGATGTCATGCCCTTCCTTGAGGACTTATGAGGATAACGAGTGGGAGGAAGAGGCCATGATTCAGAGCCCTTCCAGTCAAGCCTCTGACTCAAAACTGGGCCTTTCAGTTGAGAATTTTCATCTGGAACTCTCACAGGTCCCTTGTTCCTTGTTCTAGGGAGAGGAGGTCAGGCCATTCAATGCTGAGGAGCCCCATCATTTGCCAGGGGAGGGCAAGGTCTCCACAGCACAGAATGAGGTGTCAGGATTAGAGGAAAGCCAGACATTTTCTCTAGGGCAACAGTGGCACATCAGTAGGCAGGAACAGACCCAGCCTATGAGGAGTGCTTCACTTCAGGCCAGGAGTTGTTGGCAAGAAAGACAGTCTCACAAGTAGCTAGACTTTCCCCACTTCTATTTAAAAGAGTGGTGGGTAGGCAGGGCCAATTGTTGGAACAACTTCATGCTCCTGTGCAGCTCTTGATCCTGGAATCCTGACTCCTGGTCTTTACCTTGAACTGCTTTTAGGGAACCCTGAAGCTTCTCTCCTGAGCTGGACTGATCCTTACCTCATCACAGGTATCCCGGGGTGACTGGACTAATTTTTGCTCTTATATTCCTAAGTTTACACTGTCAGAATAAAGTTTGGCTTCTTACTTGCAAGAAAGCCCAACTGTTGTTATTCTTGGGTGGGAGTCAGGATATGCTGCTATTTATTTGAAAGTTGGGTAGTGTGATCAAACCGTGTGGCATCCTTTCCATGTAGTAGTTGGTTTCAAGGACTCAGTTGGTTAAAGCAATTTCTACTATGTCAGGGAAAGCCTTTTGGCTGAAAATCATCCAAATCACATGAGCACAACTTCACACATCATTTACCATGTGACTCTAAACCCATGCTGATGGAATCCAAAATGGTAATATTTTTGTGTGACTGTGCCAAAGACATTCAGGTTATGGTCCAAAGTGATGATATTTGTTTTATTGCTGGTTTAGCTCCCATGGACACAGGATGCAAACAGTTATCTTGTGGCAAAGTAACACAGTACATCAAATGCATCAATTCTCAACTTAATTTGGAACCACCAACATAACCACTGGTGAGATATTACTAAATATGAGAGCCCCTTCTCTGCTATTACATTTGCAGGAAAGGAAGATTCTTATCATTGTTTCACTCAGGAATGTGCATGAAGAAGCAGCGGTGAAATTTGCTCACCAAGCATTTTACTTAAATATCCACTTCTCTAGCAGTCTGAAAATGATTCCCTGAGTGCCTGCCATTAATGCTATAGCTGTAGTGAAGCCAGGTGCCTTACAAAGCTCCTAGATGGTTTAGGGCAGTCCAAAACCAATTAATCAATGCCAGGCTACATGATGATTTATGACTTAGTACATTGCTTTATACTTTGCTGTTCTGAACTGAAACCATTCCAGAGAGCTCACTGGAAAAACAGATATACCTTTATTTTAGAGAGACACTGTGATGGCATTGATTGAATTTCATAGACTGAGACTGGGATCAAGTAGTGATGTAGATCTTTTCAATGCACAAAACTTAGAATCTGGCATAGAGCATCTGAAAAAAATTCAACTTTCTAGAAGATGCAAGATCCGTTAAATTAGTGGTGGTCTGTATTTTCTTTCTGACTGTCTTTCTGACAGTGACGAGCAACTGAAGAGACCTCCAATTCTAACTGTGAAGAGTGTAACCACTAACTTGGCAAAATGCAAATGCGTCAAACAGTAAGTTAATGTTTATACAGAAGCCACTGGCTATGAAGATCTGGAACTCCCCTAGCCAGACAGCAAAAGTTGTAATTTTTTACATCTTAGATGAAAATGTGAGCTCTTATTTACAATATGATATATGAGTGATAAATGCAAAACTAACGTTCAGAAAATGAAAGACGAGATAATCCTTTGAGGAACTAGAATGACTTATCTACGTATTAATAGAAAAGGGATACGGGATTGGTTCTCCATATCGTAAAGCTTGGGACAGTTGACAACCAAATTTGCACAGTAAGAAGGTATGTTGAATGAACTTAAGTAAAGAGAGGCATGTGATGGTTGGGACAGTTTTTGACTTTGATAGCTAATTTGCTGTTCAGGCTAGATTTACCAAGCCACTAAAGTTGTTGAAAGTTGATTGATTGTGAGTAGAGATGAGATATATGTTTAGTCTTATGGGATAACAGTCATGTACTTCGCCATGTGCAGAACCTTATTTTACATTTTGATACTGGCAAGAACTACTCAGGGAAATTAAGCTAAACTTAAAATATATATCTGAGCATTACAGATTACTAGAAAAGCTAACCAATAGACTGTAACTGACACGGGGACAAATAGAAGAGGATGTCTTCACCCCAGTATGGCTCCCCTTTATCACATACACAGCCCAACAAGACAACAACAAGAATCCACCAACAGCATACAAATCAATCTGGCTTGCCTGACCCAACAAGCCCTCTCTCACCTCACAAATGCAAACAAACCCCATTGCAGCCAACCACAGACAACCCAGCCACACCCTGCCCCCAATACCTCTCACTACCAAGGAAATGTAATAAATGAATAGAAAGAGAACTTACCCTGTTAACGCTGACACAAAACCCCACACGTACACTATACAAAAGAATGTAAGCCTTACCATCTCACCCCTCCTCTCCCCCAACCCTATACTCAACGCTAATGTCTCACAACAAATGTACATGATTTGTAAGAAAGACTGTACAACCTGAAAAAAGAGACAAGGCATGTACTTTTTGTAAACCAAGAAAATCTTTAATAGAAATAAAAAGTTTTAAAAATAAAAATAAAGAAATCTGAGCATTGCAAAATGGAAAAGTACATATTCCAAATTAGGTGATTATGCGTAATGAATTTTAACAGTATCTCTATGGACTGACCCTGGCAACCTAAACCCAATATACCAAGAACAAGCATTTGGTTCATGTGCTTCCTTCTTCCGCCTTCCTGTGCATTATATAAAGGGAAATTTGCAGGGTTTGTTAAACTACAGGCATTATGTGGTCACTGGTTGGGTTCTGGCTCCATTCTGGTAATGAAGGTGGGGCAAAAGCTCTTTAGGAAGTGGGAAGTTTCTGATATGTTTTTCACTCCTGCCTGTACAAAGGAATTGTCTTGCTTTTTGCCTCACATTTCCTACCTCAAACAGTCTAACACCTTCTATTCTTACCATCCTTATAAACTCTGCTATCTTATGCTAGCTCCCTTCCTCCTGGAATGGTTTCTCCCACCCGATTTCTACTTTCATGCCTTTTACGCTCCCCCCCCCTCTATATATCCAAAAAAGTTTCTTTTCTGTCACCTTTGTTCTCCTCCTTGAATGGTTTTTGGCAGGCAGTTGTTTCTATTTAGCCCACATGAGGCTATTTCTTTCCACCAACCAATCACAGCGGTTCACTGCCTTTCAGCTCTGTGCTCCTCGTCAGATCAACGAAAACGTTTACAGAACAGCCACTGTACCTCCTATCAGGCACATTTGTTGACTGCTTTCTTCTGTCTGCTTGCTTCCTTCTCCATCACATAATCACAAGATGAAGTGCACAGACACCATTTGAATGGCAATGCCCATCAACTTTGGGGGCAGTGGCCCTGTCAAGTATTTTATTGGGGGCGTCAGCGAAGGGACCTTGGCCTCTAGGAGATGGCTTCTATGCCCTGGACTAGAGTCCTGGTGAAGGTTTAAATGTGGATTTCATTTACCCATTCATTTTATATTCCTTTCACCATTTCAAATGAATCAAGGTGGACTACGTGAAAATTAGATAAAACATAAAAAACCAAGGTGAACCAGGACATGGCAAGTCCGAATCTGGACATGTGTTGAAGCATTTACAAGATCAGTCCAGCATATTAAATAGCCACAGAGAATGCCAAGTTGTATTAAATTCAACAGGTAAAAAAATAGTTGTATGAATCAGCCCTTATTTCCTGTGTTACCTGTCAGCACATCTTGGCCACATATGGTGCGTTCCTCCATTTATAGTCAGAACTTCAAATTACATCTGACAAAGAATTACACATTCCCATGTCCTCCGTTAGCAGCTGCTTTCTCCTGAGTGACCTGCTATTTTAGTTTTGTGTGACACACATGCATTTCTTGTAGTTTGCGTTTGCTGCAGTTTGATAGATATTGCCACTGACATTCTCCATATTTCATATGCCAGGGAATAAAATAAAGAAGAAACTGGAAGGTAAAGCCATTCATAGACTGTTAGCTTGCATTCTTCTTACTGCCAGTTATGGTATTCAGGAATAAAAAGATTCTAATTCGATTGCATTGTCTTGATACGATTCTCTGATTTGTATGAGGCATGTCTGCCCAAGATACCAAAAGCAAATATTGCACAGGCAGCTTAGTCATAAGTCTCAGTGGAGCCTTACCTTCAGATAAGCGGGCTAAGACTCCAGTCCTATGGTGTGTATGTGTGTATGCTAGAGTGAAAGTGTAGGCAGTTTAATGACCTTACCCTAAGCCCACCTGGGTTCTTACTGGCAAGGTAGAAGTGAGGGTGGAATAGCACACTTGTGTTTTTCTGTCCCATTATTCTTCCCATTGGAAAAATATTGGAGAGAGAGGAGCGTGAGAGGTTTAGGCCAGCTTCTGAAGTGGTCCAAATCTTTCCTCAGGTTGAGGGATGGAGTCAAACTATTTCCAAGTCCTCCCTTGGCACACCCCTGCACTGCCCCTAAGGCAGCCTCTTTTTCACCCGGCTGATGTTGGATGGTAAAGTTAAAATTCAGTGCAGTAGCTAAACTATTACTGCCCCAAGTCTGCTCAGAAGTCAGTCCTATTGAATTCAATGGTAAATACTTCCCAGTAAATGGGATTACGACTGCAGTCTTAGTCTCTTTGCTGCCTAGAACGTATTTTGAGTAAACAGGGGTATGAACAGGTTAATTTTAGTCTTCTACAGTAGCTCCAATTATGCAATTGCAGTTAAACCAATGGGATTTATAAAATATAATAATAGTAAAATTATTATTATTATTATTATTATTATTATTATTATTATACCACCTCCCTGCGAGGATCATAGGGTGGCTTATAATATAAAAACAAAACAAAAACACATGCCATAATAACAAACCAAAGCAATAATGCCCCCCTCCACATACTCCAGTTTTAAAGGCCATAGATAGTTCAGTTAGCCAAAGTCGTGGGAGAAGAGGAATGTTTTTTGCCTGGTGCCTGGGCAAGTTATGTTACACAGGTACCGGACAAGCCTCTCCAAGGACAGCATTTTACAAGCAGGTTAGTTCATATGGAGAGAGGTTGTCCTTCAGGTATTGCAGTACTTGCACGTTTGCTTAACAGATATTTAAAAGACGAGAGGGATGGTCTCAAAAGTTGAATTTCAGAATTCAAAATTAAATTGGAATAAATAAATGCTGCTGAATTTTAGAAGTAAAGAAACTCATTTTCCTGTGGTTTCGAGTCTGCTATTGCATTGAAAACATTAGTAAAATGTGACAAATACAGCTGTTGGTAGTGTATCCCATTTGTGACTTCTTTGAAACCTTTCTATTTATTTTCATGAGCAGAGTCCTTCACAAGCTGTCAAAACCTAAACAGTACTACATATCAAACCAACTCACGCTACTGAGTGAATGTTGTGGGTGCATATACATACACAGGTCCCACTCCCCCCAGCGTCCCTATGCACACTAGCTCTGCTTCTGACTTTTGTGTGTGAGACGTCTATATGTGTTCAGCTGGATGTGCTTAGAAGCTTCTCCACAATTGGGGACTGTGCAAGTTCCTTCCCCACTTTAAACCCACGTCTTCACTCTCGGTTCTTGAACAGGGTTATAATATTGTTGAAAAGGCTCAGAGGATCTAATTTCAGCATAGCAGCTATGACAATTATAGGCCTTTCTGAATTATATAGTGAGGATGTGCCAGCCAGAGAAGAAATGGAAGAATTGTGGCATACAGGGGGAAATACTTGAGCGTATGCCCTTGACCTACCCAATGATGCCTGTGCGATCTCTGTCATAGCATTGAGTCCAATAAGTAATTTTAGACTTTGAACCACATTGCAAATTAGCTGTAAGACTGGGATTGCTGGTGTGGTGGGACATGATGATCATGTGGGATGCATTTAAGCAAGTCCCTTGTCACATTAAAACAGAGATAGTCAATCTTTTAAAAATGCTAGTTATAAGTAGATCCTGCCACCTGTAGGGTTCCCAATGATCTCCATCCCGGCTGATCATTTCCACCCCAACTTAGCTTAAATAAGGCTGTAGTATTCATAATGCTGGCCCTGAGAAAGTCTCAAGACTGTGCCATGTCGGTGACTGAAGGTTTGACTTTGCTCTAAGATAAACTTCAGTATACAGTGGAGACAGTCCCTATTTTTGGTACCTGGTAAAGCACAGTCCCAGTTTTTTCTGCTGGACAACTAGGATACTTTTTAAAAATTGTTGGTGTAAGTTGCTAGAGTTGTTGTCAGTCTTTCAGTTTCTGCGTCTTCCTCAGTCTTCAAGAACTTAAATCTGTGCAGGGTAAACAGACACATCTTGTCTCTAGTGCACATGAATGTAAATACATGTACACAAGTACTAAGGACCCACTTCCCATATTTGAATTATTCAGAACACATTGCACACTCTCGTCTCCGCCTCCTGGTATATCTGTACATCTGTAGTCAAGAACAAGATCACACTCAGCTTTTAAATCCATGGGGAGCAGAAATGCTATACAGCAGGAGCAGTAGACCATTCAACAATGTGTAACAGTTTGTGTATGAGTGTGTTGGGGAGACAGACATCTTGTTATCATTGGTATTAGAACTGGAACATTGAATACATGGTCCCTATTTCCATCTGTGAAATGGTGGAGGGTATGACAGTCCCTAAAAGGACTGTAAGCAGACTTATTTTCCACTTCTGTAGAATGCTAAACTAGGTTGACCTAGTGAAAAAAGGAGGTCAGAGAATTAAAAACTTTATAACCCATGACTCCTGCAGCACAGCTACAGCTCTTCTACTTTTTGCCATTAAACTCTGGGCTTCATAACTTTAAAAAAGTCTATGTGGCTTCCCTTTTCTTGTATTTTTTTCCCTTGCCACTTCTACAGTATTTGGTGATTTGGTAGACTGTCACTCTAATTCCTTTGTGTAGGAAAGGACACAGCCAATTGATATAAAAGGTCAAAACTGTACTAAGAATACGCACTAGATTTCCTAGTTCCAAGGCATGAAAGCACAGAACCTGCTGTTTGCAGTGTATTTCCTACATTTTTGAAATTAATGAAAGTGTATGTATGACACATTAGATAACTTTCTATCAGATCATATACAAGTCAGACTCTTGAACGTTGAGAACCCTTTCACTTTGAATGTAGGCATCTGAATCAAATGTTAAAGGGATGGGGATACAGGTTGGGAATGGAAAAGCCACTTATGGGCAGGGAAGTTCCTGCACGCAATAGAGCTTGAAACTTCCTTATGATGGTCTATAGACATGACATGGTGGGCAAGTCAAACTCAGGTGCCTCACACCGAGCATTTACAGCCACTTTGGGAAATGTGCCACAGAGAGGCATTCAAGTGCCTACAATATGTAGCTTCTTAGTTGGTAGAGCATGAGATTTTTAATCTCAGGGTTGTGGGTTCGAGCCCCACATTGGGCAAAAAGATCCTTGAATGACAGGGAGTTGGACTAGATCATGGGTAGGCAAACTAAGGCTCGGGGGCCAGATCTGGCCCAATCGCCTTCTAAATCCGGTCCACAGGTGGTCTGGGTATCAGTTTGTTTTTACATGAGTAGAATCTGTCCTGTTATTTAAAATGCATCTCTGGGTTATTTGTGGGACCTGCCTGGTGTTTTTACATGAGTAGAATGTGTGCTTTTTATTTAAAAAGCATCTCTGGGTTATTTGTGGGGCATAGGAATTCGTTCATTTCTTCCCTTCAAAATAGAGTCCTGCCCCCCACAAGGTCTGAGGGACAGTGGACCGGCCCCCTGCTGAAAAAGTTTGCTGACTCCTGGTCTAGATGATCCTTATGGTGCCTTCCAACTCTACAATTCTAGGATTCTAGGGGTAGTCTGCTCAGGTGTACATTGGTAAGTCCGCTATCAAGTGGCTAAAAAAAATTATATCCACATTATTGCACCCACTATAAGCAGTTTTGTAATAGACAATTGTGATGGTTGATAAAGTAGACTTTAAGTATATATACATAGGTTTCTGCCTCCTGGTCCTTTCTTTCTCGCAGTCCCTGTAGCAATCATTCCAGAAGCTCACTTTTAGATTATTTCTTCTCTAGAAACATTCCCAACAGAGAGCACAATGTGATTAAATAAGCACAGTAAAACAAATATTTCTTCTTTTTTCACACCACCTTGGTCAGCATTTACAGTATAAAAACTCTTTTGTCATGTTTATGGATTTTGTTAATGAGTTTTGTAACAGAGTCCAGTTTCCTTTTTGTTTTTTGTTTTTTGCTTACCGTGGAACATCAGTGAAGTTAATGACATTTTGGAGAGTTTAGAAAACCACAACAGGACTTTGTAAGGCCAGTCTACCTGGAAGTGGAGTGTCACGGAAGAAAAAGCACAGCATGTTTTATAATTACTTGATGCTCCCAGTTCAGGTTTATACAGTCATCATGTAGTGATAGTGCTAAATTCAAGTTTCTTTAACATAGGTTTGAAATGTGTAAGTTTTATTTCCCCCAGTAAATATACAATACACACTGAACATTACGATTAACCAACTTTATGCCCATTAAACTTTGCTTCACTAACACATGAAACACATTAAGAGGTCATAATTATTATTTTTTTGTGACTGAACAAACTGTTGTCAATGAACAATTTTATAAAAAAAATGTAGAAAACAGTTCTAAGTGTTGCCACTACACCCCTTCCTTAAGACACATTATGCACAAGAAATATTTTCAATTATAAAAAGGAAAAAAGTTCTTTTAAAAAAATGTTAAATTACATTACATTTTAAAAAATATGTTCTGTGATTATTTGAGGTTCACTGAATGGGTGAGAGACAGAAAGATGGAGAAAAAGAGAAAGCTTCACTGTTGAAATAATGGGGTTTTTGTTATACATAAAAACTCCTCTTTATAGTAGCCTATAATAGACAGTGATATTCTAGTACTCCACAGGTTTAATACTGACACAAAACTTCCCAACTGAAGTGATGAAGACACATATGAAGGAACCTGGGATGGCTACTTTTACTCAGACTAGATTTGACAAGAAATCGGCTAGTAAGGTGTTCCACCAAAGCTCAGCACAGGTTTCTAAGAGACAATTAAAACATTAAGGAAGATCAAATAGTACAGTCCTCAGGGGCCTGTACAACTTTAGAATGCAAATGTTTCAATGTGCTCTTGAAGTTTTCCTACATATAGAAAGTTTGTGATAACTGATATATTTCAAAGGTAGAACAGGACTCTGAGGACTCTACCATACACATATTGTTATAAGATCAGTTATGAGATCAACTTCTCATAGTACCTGTAACAGCAGTATGGGTGCAACTACCACCGTGGCTGCTCTCATCATGTGTGGTTAGGCCAGGCTGCATGGTTATGTTCTGTAGTAGTGGCATGCTACCTACTAGGGTCAGTAGCACCAGCATACTTGCAATCAACCTTAGTTACATTGGTGGAAAACAGTTTTAAATCCAAACCCTTTATTCAGTTAGTATGGCTTCAAGTAATCACTTCTAGTTTCTTTTCTCTCCACCCAGTCTACTCCATGCCAGATATTATCATGTATCACTGTCTCAGCTGTTGTCATCTCAGGAACCAATTTGCATTTGGATGCTCTTATTTTTGAAAATTAATTACTGTTCTGTAGTTTCAGCACAAGTCTTAAGATGTGCCTAGAAATCTAAGTCACCTGGTAGATTTTTTAAAAAAAGGTTATATGAATCCTTTATAAAATTGCAATCCACAGAAGCAAAAATTGAGGCACGTACTATTCTGACTGGAGAGCAAATACTTTATCTCAGGTAAGATGGGAGTTGGGGTAAGGGATCATCTAGACTCAGCCCAGGAATGGCTTTTCCCATTCCTTCCCAGTATGACTAGTGCTGTCCAAGGCTTCTGAAGGAAACTCACAGCAGTGGTCATCAGATTAAGTAAGAAGGGGGAAAGAGACATGCAGACTGAATCAAATGCCCCTCGGTGGTATTCCCGCCTAACAACGGATTAGTGCTTTATTCAGTTCTCTAGCATAGCACCTATCCAATTTGAGGGTTGGGGCATGGAGACTATTCTCCATTGCAGATACCGCTGTGTCAGGTGCTGAGATAGGTTGCTAGAGTTGTGGAGTTTCTCCCCTTAGTAGCAGCTTACTGTGTCTTCATTACATGGATCTGTGTACAGAAAACAATGTTTGTACCCAGAATACTATTGCTGGAGCATGGTGTCAACACATTAACATACTGAATTTAGGAAAGAGAAAAGAAATGTCAGTTTTTATACATTTGTTGAATATTTCTGTACATTTATAAAATAATGGCTTTAACTATATCCAGCATTTCAATAAGCAGGAACATTACATAAATTCCTTGGTCACATACACACACAAAATATTTATCCTTGATTTGATGGGGGGGTTTTTTTGGTTTGCCAATGCCCTGACGTTACGTAAATGAGATAATTTTATATTTGCAGTGCTGATTTAGAATTGGTAATGACAATGTTTTATCTTAACAGCAATCTCAATGCAATGTAATAAAAAGCAGCATATAGCTAGCAGGTTTTTTTTCTAAAAGTGTATGTCACTTACAACAGTGTGAGAGCCAAGGCAAAGTATTAAAACAACATGGACTGATAGTAAGTAAAACGTGTTTAAACGCAAGTGTGTAATAATGATGTGACTGAATGACATAAGCTCTGTGATGTAAACTTCAAACAAAATATTTAATGCATTTGATATACATTTACAGTATTTCTAACAAAGAAATAAAAATACTGTAGAGGAGTTGGAGAAAAACATGAGAACTAATGATGAGACAGGATGCTTTTGTTAATGTCCACTTACAGAGAGTTTGGTTTATTGAAAAAGTGTATAAACATGCATCATGTTTTCATAAGAAGAGGCTTGAAATTTACTCATCAAAAATAGGTCAAAGATGTTTTCTTTGTTTCTATCCAGTTTCCAATAATGTACTGAATTGGCAAAAGACATATTAAATTCAAAACCGATCATAAATTTACCATTGTTTTCAAACATTTTAACCCAAGATTTAAGGTACAAATGAATTGGGTTGCAGTTTTTGACAATTTTAGATAATACAACACAAAAATATGTTTAGAATGCATAAAAACAATTATGCCATGGATTTCAAGTGATGCAGTGCTACACCTTCCATTGTACTGTACATGTATTGGAAAGATGAACTAAGATAGTCTAGCTTTTTTGGAAGCAGCTTGGATTTCTCAATCATAAATTGCACCTTTAACTCTTGCTAGGTATTCCTAGCTCATATGGTTCATGTTTCCTGGAGGGGAGAGTGACTCAAGCATAGTAATTTTTAAAACTATAGTATTAAAGAATAGCTTTAGTGAAACACCTTAACTTCCTTCCTTTGTTAGCAAGATCAACTGTGTTGAACAAAGGAAAACTGATACTAAGAAGAGAGGAGGCTTGTGTTCTCGTCTGGTCTTGAAACTCACACTTCCATCATTTGACCCCTTTTTTAATGGTAAAAGCAACATGTTGCTTATTATTTCATATAGGATTCCATCCCTGATGCCCCAATAAGCCTTTGCTAACATCAGTTTGCCAGTCATCTTCCTAATTCTACACCCAATGGAAAACCACCTAACATAATTCATTACATCCAGCATTATCCAACATAGCTTACAGTACATAGACTCCTTTCACATTCAGACTTTTATTTTCTTCTTCTTCTTCATGTCACGAGGAGTAAGAGTTTTGTGCTTATCACCAACAAAAAAAAATTGCAGTGCAAACTTTAAACATAAAAAGTTACACAATTAAAAGTTATTATATGGCACCACAGCCTATTAATTCACATATAATACAACAGACCAATAAGAACAGACAATAATATGAACATAGCTAAAAAGAAGGTGAGCTTGCATAGCAATGCAATAAAAAGAAATTATATACAAGGGAACTGTTTCATCCTGCAGGGTGATTTTTTTCTCTCCTTTATATATGCTTGATAAGAAATAGATTAAGGTGGAAGGTGTAGTATAGAGAAGAACACAGGTAGAGTATCTGTGGGATATGTGTGGCTGTGTGTCTTTACATTGCATTTACAGTTCTTTTAATAAGTAAGTACATAAATAAAGAAAATGTTCATTGCACTGTTTTAGTGTCATCACTTCCATGAGTTCAGACCTTGATGGCCCTTGAGAGCAGCTTGAGATGTTTCTGTTCCAACTACTCTGTTAAACAAAAAGCAAGAACATTATTATGTTTTAAGATACTTTACTTTTAACTTCTATGCATATTTCATTCAGACATATATTTTACAAGCAGACCATAAAAATCATTAACCTTCTGATTGGTTCAAATGATAACTTTTGTTAAAGTGAATGCTATTGTCGGGACTGGTTTTTTTTTTACAGTTTTCATTTTTGGAATGTAAACTGTAATTGTACGTTTTCCAATTATTTTCTCAGTGAA